TTGGCATCGCCTCCCGCTTAATCTATTGATGCAATCTTTATCCCTGCTTCCCCCATCCCCCCCTCTCTCTCTCACACACACACACACACACACATGTTTTAAACGCACAGATGCACACAAACGTGTTATGCAGTAAGTGGATTGCAAATGTTGCATGTCAGTCTTGTGCAGAAACTGTGAGCTTCAGTGAGTCTGTCTGACTTCACATGTGCCTTTAATTACATCCTTATGGCTGACAGAAGGGGTCAAACGTGGGTTAGGGGATGCCAGGGGCTGTGGGGGTGATTATTAAGGTAAGATATTGGTTTTGATGGTTCAGAAACCAAAGCTCTCAGTCCTTCGTGAGACTTGTCTTTTCCATATTCGTCGAGGGGTGAAAGAAGCTTTATTCTCTGGCTAGCAGCCGGAGTTAAGACCCCCCGGAGAGCACAAGATGAGAGGGAAATTAATAATGTGTGGGGACTCAAAGGCTTTGACTGAACCAAAGGATCAGAGGAGGGCGAGGAGTGTGTGTATTAGAGGCAGAGGAAGGGAAACAAACACAGGGAGAGAAAGGAGAGGCAATCAGGCAGGCTGGCTACCTTTAAGCAGATAATGAAAAGTAAGAGATGTGGTATTATGAGAGAGATAGAAGAAGCCAGTGCCTTTTAAAGATCTGTAATTAAAGGGATACTCCAAATCCAAGCATCACTTACAGTCTATAGACCTGAAGGGGTTACTTCTAGAAAGCTGCTGGGTATTACTTCAGGTGATTAGAAAATCCAACCCTTTCTACAAACAATAGACTGTTTCAAACATGGATGAGCTATAGTCTCAGCGGCATCACTCTTTGGTTTCTGAAGAGACGCTTTGGAGCCCATCTCTGGCGGTTGCCATATTGGAAATGCCATCTCAACATAGCCTTCAATCTAGCAAGAGGTATAGAGGTGGAGTCGAGGCGAGCCGTAAGCCTCCTGGCAAACAGCGACTCGCCCGCATGTCAGTCAATAATAATGCAAATACATAACCTTTATCCTTGATACAATCAAAACAGATGAGTTACAAAAAAATAATACTACCCCCATACAGGCTAGACGCATGGACCAAAATCTTTAATTTTCTTTTTTACCATGCTGTAAAGATGTTTATTTCTACGGTTAACATTGGCATTTTATCATGGATTTGTAAATGTGACTTCCAGGGGCTCTTTCAGCCAGCCTCAAGTGGACCCATGGGAACTGTAGTTTTTTTGCTCATCTGCATTGGCTTCATTTTTGAAAATTCAGAGGTTGGCGCTTGCTACAAACAAATTTCGTCTCCTAACTTTTCAAATATGAAGCCTTGATCTTTGGACTTTAAGGTACCAAATGTGCATCAGTCATGCATGGTTAGAGCTTTGTGGTCAAGTTGGCAATAGTAAATATAAAATGTTCCTTTGGATTTAAAAAAAAAAAGTACTTTAATTAGTGATTATAATATGAATCGTCCTTAAAATGGACTTAGTAAAGCTTTCACATGCAATGTGAAAAAACTATAACTTACCCGTGCTTATGTAGTGCATCCTAATACCTGGCTTGGTTTTGTAAAAAGATCCTGGTTTAATTAAGTACTAATATTTCTCGCAACACCTATTACACCTATTACAAAGCGTATGTACAATATGTATGTAATGCACTATACGTCTTGATGTATGCTTTATGAAACTTAAAAGGATGAAATTCTTTAAAAAACTCAACATTTATTATCACTTCCAGCAGTATTATTTAGTCATGTTTTTGTTTGACAGAGTTGTAGTCCAGCTGCTGACAAAGCTGCTGTATTTGACAACTTAAGAGTTAAAACAGGCTGTGTATTTACTTTTTTTAAAATCTGCAATATAAATGCAGCTCTCCATACATAGATAAATGTGAAACCTAACGGTCATTTGCTGCACTGTCACAGTGTGAGAACATCAGCTGCCCTGTAAACAGATTGAAAATTAGCATTAAGTCACGAACATGCCGGTGTTCCCATTATCGAGACATGCTTTTCACATTACAACGTGTGAGTCTATCACGAACTCCAAAATCAGAACAAATGCCTCAGTGTTTAAGGAAACTCAAGATCTAATATTAATGGACTTTATCCGATGATGTGTGGAAGTCACGCCAGCATGCTCAGGGTTGGCACACTCACATCTCGTCTCCCCGGGCCCAAAACAGTAAGTGAGGTCTGCTGTGACCTCATGGCTCAAAGCCAGCAGCTTCACTCTACCCTTTGAACCTGAACAGACCTGGATGAGACCAGCTGTGTTAAGCTGGATGTGACCACAGCTGATCACACCACCCAGCCTTAATTATTTTATTAAATATATCCATGAATCAATCGATCCAAGTAAATCTTTTATTCAAATATTTAATTTTGAGGATTTCTTTCTTTGTGTGTAAATGATACATTATGTCACATTTCCATATAGACAATAATGGGCCAATAAGACCTTTAAAAAACAATGGGCTAATAATGCTTGTGGGGCAGTATGCCATCTGTGATCCCTCCCTGAAGCACGTCCAGGTGGGCAGCATGCCATCCAGCAGCACAATGGGTTTATCCACAGTGATTTATTAAAGACCCCCCACCATTGGCCAAACAGGGACGCTAGGCTAAATTAGCGAACCATTCTTCTTCACTCCATCTCCCTCTTTCTCCCTTTCCTTTTTGGTCTCTATCTGCTAAGTGCAGTTAGAATATCCGTAAAGGAGGTGTGTAATGGTAGACTGGCCCCATATTGGAGCCATTAAGCATGAACACGGCTGCCTATTACACGGGTCTTTAGCAACAAAGCGGAATAACCCCTCATCATCCTGTCAAGCAATAGCCCCTTCGAGGTTTCCCTCCATGGAGTGGTGAGATGTAAATGAATTAGATGTATACACACTCCGTAACAGTGGTCCGCCTAATCCCTCCACTCTCTACTACTGATTTTGTTAAACACAAGAACAACTTGAATGGAGAGATAGACAGGTCTTGGTCAAGAGCGCTTGAAATGTGAGTTCTCTGCCAGGGTAAAGTGGCGGTCTTCTCTTTACAACAGCCATTAGCACCACCTCATCTTCAATGTTAAACGCTACGTGCGCTGCGGTAGTTGCATTGTGTGTTTAGTGAAGAGGGAGTTTGATGAGAGGCTCTGGATGACACACCTGCCAGGGGAAGAGGGGTTGAGATAACAATTTTCTCCTCCCTGTCAAGGAGACATCTGGCATTGCCACAGCATTGCAAGTCCAAATACACCCAGGAGTGGGTAATGAGGCGTAGGAGACAGGGTGTGTGTGTGTGTGTGTGTGTGTGTGTGTGTGTGTGTGTGTGTGTGTGTGTGTGTGTGTGTGTGTGTGTGTGTGTGTGTGTGTGTGTGTGTGTGTGTGTGTGTGTGTGTGTGTGTGTGTGTGTGTGTGTGTGTGTGTGTGTGTGTGTGTGGTTGGTTTTTCCCTCATCTTTTCAGACTATTCTCTTTAGACCTTGGAAGCACGCCATCTGTAGTCCTCCGCTATAAGCCCACTAGTGTGTGACTCCAAAGCAGCGTTAAATCAGCTTAGATACGGGGCCCATATTTAACCTTCTTCAAAAAAAAAAAAAAAAAGTAAAGGTAAAAAGCAATGAAGAAAAGTGAACAAACCAAACAGCATAGAAGGTCAAATAGAGAACATAAAGGGATGGTTGAGTGTGTGATTACTTGTCTGTGTGTGCGTGTGTGTTAGTGTGTAACCCAACCTACGTCAAACCCATCCATCCGTGAAGTTGCAACACATGTCTTTGGATGTCGACATGAGCATGGTGGCCTGCATTATGTTTACACACAGTCCTGTGTGACACTGCATATGCCTCAGAGGGGTTGCTGAGAAAGATGGGAGTAAGGCTTGATAATCACAAAGAACAGTGAATGCTTGAGTGAACTTTCTAGTAGCTCATAAAATGCAGTTTAAAAAAAAGTTGCTTTACTCTGTAGAATATATTGATATTGATATAGTTGTTAGTTATGTTATTACTTTTGTTTATCATTGTTGGGCCCGACTGATATGTCTTTGTCCGATACTGATATCGATAATTGGGAGAGAAAAAATCTGATACGGATATTTCGGCCGATATTTTTTCTTATCTTATATCTATTTTGATCTTAAGAGCTGTATATATACACATTTATTGGTAACCTCTAAATCAACACAGTGAAAGAGAACTGCTAGTGTAATACAATAAAACTCAAATGAAATGCTTTTTGACTGTTGAATAAATCCGGTAATATAGTTGATCAGGCATATCTGTGATAAAACGAGCGGATACTGATGTCACAGAATATGCCAATATCGGCTGATATAATCGGCTGACAGATTTATCGGTCGGGCTCTAATCATTGTAAATTGCTACATCTTACGATTTGTTTTGAAGTTGTTTTTTTGTACAGTTTGTTGTTGTCTCTGATGATTTGTCTTTTAAGTGCTTTAATAGATGATTGCTGCCTTTGATTGTTGATCTTTTGTTGCTTTTGATGAGTTGTCTCTGATGTTTTGTGTTGTATTGACCCAAAAAGTTCACTGTTGACTCTGACGATTTGTTTTAAGTAACTTTCACAGTTGATTGTTGTCTTTGAAGACTTGTTTACTCCTTCACTTAAAGTAATGACTGTTGATTGATAGTCACCTCTTAATGAATATTGAATCGTTACATTTATTTACTACATTAGTTTATAATTGAGCGTTCCCTCTCATTGTTTATTTTTTCAGTTACTTGTACAGCTAATTGTTTGTAACCAATGGACTGTTTTGTTTGTTTGTTTTGGCTGGTTGCCTTTAGCTTCCCCAGACAGTACAGAGTTATCCTGAGGGCTACACAAAGTAAAACAGTACCACAGTATAATAACCATATCAGTAAAACAGAATGTCAGGATAAACAATATAAGACATCATAAATTGAATGATATGTTGAAAATAAATAGGTTAACAACCAAGTCCTTGAATGTGTTGTAACTGTTTATCTCTCTCTGTTTATTGCAGGTGATCTCCGCTCTGTCGAGGATCTCCCACCACAGCATTGCACAAATCAAAGGCATCAGGTATGCATCTAATTTGTAAATCTCTCAGTTGTTACTTGATGAGCCAAAGCACTCAAGAATATCAATGTCACAGAATCCATTTGGATGAACGTTTTACACATTTGCATACAGGCCTGTACTGAGATGGAGGTGGCTATTAACATCTGCTGCTCATTTAATAGTCAATTCAAATGTTGAGGCAATTAGCTGCAGCTTTTAGTCGCTGTAATCTTTCAGAGGAACAAAAATAATCCACAACACATTTCCATCTGTCACTCAGACAGTAACTGCAATATTTTATTTTTTTTTAAATGTAGAAAATGTAGCATAACATCATAAACACTGCTGCCTGAGTCAGAGTTTGATATTGAATGCCCGGGTCATCATTTTTCACAGATAATAGCGAAGCTGAGAAAATCCTTCACCTTGTGTATCAGGCCTGGAATAAGCTGCTGATTCCTCTTCATTTGCTCAATCTGTTTGGAGCTCGGTGCCTCACCGGCGACACATAAAAAGCCACTTTATCTGTCTGAGCAACGACTTGATGGAGCACAGTCATTGGGAGCCGTGCCAAGAAATGAAGGAAAAAGAGAGAAAGAGAAGAGAGAGAGAGTTGGTGATGGAGAGTGTAAGAGAGAGAGAGGGGTGGGGGGGGGGGTAGCAGGTCCCTTGCCTTTAAAGACAACACAACCTGCTGACTGCTGGCTAGTTCACTTCCTGTCCACACTGACCACTTTGCTTTGAGGTGTCAAAATCAAGGCTTATTTGACCACAGTGTAAGTGTCACTTTCTGAGTTAATTTTAATTTCAGCAGGCATGAAATTGATTAAATAATTAACTTTCATCCATGATTTTGATTCTCAAATTGCTGGTCAGAAGTGAATGCCTTGTTGGTTATTAAAGAAAAGAAGAACTGTATGGAAGAGGACTGGTTTCCAAAGAAGGCAGCATTATGTTGTAAAGTTAAAGTTTTTTTTTAAGTCTATAAGCTCCTTGCTTTTGTTTACCATGACTCCCAAAAATTGTAGCACAACTATTGAGTGTCTGACCACTGACGTGTGCTTGAACAAGACCCTGAAGGGTATATATAGCCTGACCTCCTTACCCTGCTTTGAAGGCGATCAAGAAAAAATACAATGAGCTGATAGGAATCAATAAAATATGACTTCATCAGGAACGGTCTTACTTGGGTCTTGGCGAGAACAATAAAATATTGATCTAGGTTATCAAATGGCACACAGAACTAAAGGCTCTCAAATGGATGTGTCAATATATGAAACGTATCACAGGTATCTCGGCTAACTTTAAATTACCACACACCATTAACTCAATAATTATTCAATGGAAGCTTCTTAATATGTATGTACATTTTACAGCTCATGTGAGGACTTTTAAGATGGTTATGAAAATGACAAAAAAATCATATCAATGCCTCATTATGACTTACAACAGCAAACAAGGTGTTCTGGAAGAAGATAGTTTTTTATGTAGTCATTTTAAGATACATGTCATCCCTACTGTGTCGGGTAGGTATCAGATGAGGTGAGGCATGTCAATTCAATTCAATTAGAAAAAACTTGATTTGTCCCCGGGGTCAATTCAAAGCTACATAGAACAGTAGCATAACGACAGTGTAAGGTACAAAAGAAAACCCATAGATATAAAAAATATTTATTTTTCTCTGAAAATGTCTCCTTGGTCTCTCAACCTATGTCTCCATGTTGTGTCCAGTCCAGTGTTGAATTTTATCACAAGTACTTAAAGGTCCCATATTATGCTTTTTCTGGTTTTATATGCTCTTTAGTGTGTTTTCCAAGTGTCCTGTGCAAAAATTCAAAGTCTGCGGAAACGCGGCTTCTCCTATGTCCTCCTGTTAGCTGTAGCATTAGCTGCATGTAACGCTCGGTTCTAGCCCCCCTCGAAAAAAATGTGTCAGTGCGGCGTCATTGTCAGTGTTAGATCACTGATCTAAGCCCATTGGCTCGTTGTGGCAAGCCCTGCAGCTCATGTTGAAATTTCCGAGACGCGTGCTGAGCAGCTGACCAATAACGACAGAGCGGATCGGCAGCCCAATCAGAGCAGACTTGGCCCACGTGGGGTCTAACAGTGTGGGCTCAGCAGAGTGCAGCTGACGGACTCAGAGCGTAGAGGGAGCAAGGAGGAGCAGTTCATGAAAACAGACACTTTTTTCGAACTTTAGCTATTGTGAACATACAAAAGTAGGTACATAGATTAAATATACGAACCCCAAAAAGGGCATAATATGAGCTCTTTAAAGGCCTGAAGCTGAACACTAAAACCAGCACTGCTGTCCGATGACTGTCCAACCCCATAGTGGACATTGTTGGTAGTCTACCATACAAGTTTATAAAGCAAAGACATGTGCTCCAAAGTTAAGAACAGTTTCCCAGTGGTATTTACTGTACAGGTGTGGATGCAAGTTACATACAAACTACTCAGTATGAATTTATTTTAAACCGATCCAAATTCACTGCACTGGCCCTGCAGTGTGTTTCAAGTCCCAGTAGACTGGCTTCATTTATTTAGTTGGAGTGTAATTTGTAGGGCAGTTGCAGAAACCATGTTCTTGTTGACTGACGCAATAAACACCACATGTTGGTCTTCAGGGCAGAAAGGGAAGTTTGGTTACACCCAACTGGAGGCAGACAACAGCTAAGAAGCTGATTCACAATCAGAAGCTGCCTCTTGGTGAGAGACCTTGGTAGGAATGGTATATCAAAGGGTTACATATTGTATATCGTGTATAAAATTCCAAGCTGGTTTGGACTATTTTTTTTTTTTTTTACATCTGAAATCGTTTTTTTTGTTCCAGCTGAGAGAGTAATTACCCGTAACAAATACACTGTTAAGATCGTGACACATTGCTAGTACCAGTAAAGGTTCATTTGACAGTAGATTTGTTCCGTACCAGCATGACAGTACTTAATGTAGCTTTAAGCGTTCTTCTATATGTAACTGCATTCATTACAGGGTTTAAAGCCTGAGGGCATATTACACATGTGTCAAGAGGTCTGAGGCCATGTACTGGATGATCAAGTATGAACATGATGTAGCCATCAAGCGAAACACTTACACAGCGTAATTGTTCACTGACCTTTTTGGCCCTTCTAAAGGCTCGCCTCACCCGCTTCTTAGTGATTCAGCTCAGGGCAAGGTGAGCCGCATTCAACGGTCCAAGGACCTGTCAGACCTCTTCTGTCTCGCATCAAAGCCCCCGTCAACTATCCACAGGCATGACAACAGTTCTAAAAACCAAACACATACCATATCACACATGTAGTGTACAAACAGACACTATGTACTTGCCCTCAATGTCTACATACCATTTCATGGCACAGTAAGGCATTGCCGCTGTAAGGTTAAAGCAATAATAAGATACTTCAAGACTAATTGAATTAAAAGGTGAAATAAATTCCAAATAAATGTGCAACACTGAAATAGGAACTTAATTGTGTTATTATTTTATTGATAGCTAGTTATAAAGATGATAATGACCCATTCTTAACCATCCTGAGGCAGACAAATAACCACAAAACCAAATATCAAAGCAACATTTTGTCTTCAAATTGGGACTCAAAGCAGCTGGAAGATCAGTGCCTGAGGGTCCTGGATGACGTCTTGGCAGGTGCTTCATGTAGTGATTCACACCCTCCAAGGTCTTCTCTTGAATCGTGTTCATTTCCCCAAAATTTATATCAAACAAAGTGGTTCCATTGGCAAACGCTCAGACAGAATATTAAGAGGAAACAGGTGTGCTCCTCCTCAGCTGAAAGTCTGATTGGAGCTTTGATTCTCTTTGCCCAAAAGATATTAGGATAAACAGACGAATAACTCTCAAAAGGTCATCTCTTGTTTTGAAGATTTTTTACAACAGCCGTCAGATGAAACCGGATCTCCACTGTGGTTTAATGTTAGAATTTACTGTTTTCTTTCGTCATCAGGTCGTAGCATAATGTATGTGGTGTCCCGCAGCAAATTGAAAGGCTAACCCCAGTGATTTAATATCACTATTCTGTCGAGTGAAATGTATTTTAAGGTGAGTCAACTAAACTTGGTGTGTAAAATTAGTGGTGTGTGTATTTATAGCAACAATAGGTAGTTTTTCCACCTTAACATAGTAGTTTCAAAGTCCATCTAGTAGTGGAGAGGAGAATGGCGGCCCTCTTATTTCCACCAAGCTCTTTGGTCACCTGTTTTCAGCACTATGTAACTGTGGTTCTCTCGTGAGAAGTGCATAATGCTATATGCACTAGGACACACACACACACACACACACACACACACACACACACACACACCAGCCTTCAGCTAAAAAATAACCCCCATCTCATTGATGTTTGATACATTGGCTGAGGCTAGAGGAGACGGAAGAGGACAGTGACGGATGAAGTTAAGAAAAGAAAAAGAGAGAGTGGCAGACTAAGACCAGACTAAAATATTAGACCTTGTAGGTCGACATGGTTCTTCGTCTTCTCACAACATCTTTTTCAGCTGTAAACTCCTGCTTCACCACTTTCTGCCTGTCAACAAATGCTCTTTGTCTAATATAAGGGGGCAGTACTATGTGTTTTACGAGGATGCAGTTGCACTCAGAGACTTTCATTGGGTACCCAACTGCACAAAACTGAATTTCTCCATGTCAGTTTCTCAGCTCTCTCAGATCAGTACAGTCACCGCATTACAACACCTATTGAGTTTAAAAAATTCCAGAGAGCTCCTCTTTGGATTGCAAGTCTGACTAACATGGCCACAGGCATGTCCATTGACATTCTGTTGGAGCTCATTGATCTTGTCCTTGATGTCTGTTCACTGTAATCAGACATTGACAGTTTATGTCTCAGTCACTATGGCTTTGTTTTGCATGCTGTGCACATTCAGAAATACACTTAACACACAGTGAGATAAACACACTACCGTTTATTTAATTCCATCATGGACTCTGCAACAGCTGGATTATTTTTTTTACGTCCAATACTATTTTTTTTTGGGTTCGGTAAAGG